GCTACCTGCCATGAACTGTTCTTCCCTCAGCTAAGCAGGCATCAATCTACCCCTCTTTCTAAAAACAGTGATAATTTCCCTGCCATTCTGCTCAGTTTGTTATTTTAGCATTTTAGAAAGTATGGATAACACGGAGAGCTAAATACCATCCATTAGGAATCTCCCTTAAAGGTGATTCTTTGGCAGCTGCTTTCATTTTTCAGCTCCCAGGAAACCCATAAGAAATCTTTTCTGTGACAGAGGTTGCTAAACACTTGCAGGAAACCATCTCTCTCTTCTCTTCTCTTCTCTTCTCTTCTCTTCTCTTCTCTTCTCTTCTCTTCTCTTCTCTTCTCTTCTCTTCTCTTCTCTTCTCTTCTCTTCTCTTCTCTTCTCTTCTCTTCTCTTCTCTTCTCTTCTCTTCTCTTCTCTTCTCTTCTCTTCTCTTCTCTTCTCTTCTCTTCTCTTCTCTTCTCTTCTCTTCTCTTCTCTTCTCTTCTCTTCTCTTCTCTTCTCTTCTCTTCTCTTCTCTTCTCTCTTCTCCCCTGTCCACCTTAATCGTTCCACTCCAGCCCTGGAAGCATCTCCTGCACACAAGGAGATGAGTTTATCCCAGGCACAGTTAGGGTTAATTGGCCTGAAACTCTGCTCCCTTTTCAGCAGAAAGCCATCTCAAACTTATTAATGCATTAAAACCTAAGACATTTTAGGTTCACCCGTTGGCCCTCCTTGTCTTCCCTACACCCCCCGAGATGTAAACAGAACACTCATAATTTCTTAGGTTTCTCAGCCCTCTACTATTTGGACAAAGTGGGGAAGTACAATGCAGGGAGTTAATTTTCACTTTAGGCCTCAGCCAACAGGCATATGCATATATTTTACAACTTGCAGGTTTCCCCAGTGAGAATAAACTGATGTAAATAACATTTTCTGCAGTCATCTGGGTTCTCTACAGCAGTGTTCAGCCCAAAAACCTGAGAAAAAATGGAAAATGCCTCCAGAGAAGAGAAAGTGATCATACGAAGAGATATGAGTTTTTGACCACAGCTATAAGAGAATATAGGAGAGAAAGTGGGAAGGGAAGATACATAAGGCACATGATTTTGGCCAGCAGGATTTTGGGCAGTAGAAACAGTGAGAAGAGAACCTGTACATTTTCTTTTGCTGGAGAAAGTAAGAAGTTCTAGTCAAGCAAATTGCTGAGAAAGCCTATTCACAATGCACTAGCAAGGACTGAAAAAACTTGGATAATTGGATGGGAGGAATAAAAGCTAGACTGAAGATTGGAAGAGCTGAGCCCTTGAAACTTTTTTCCCCAGGAAAGTGATGCATTAACATTGCGTGTGGTTCTTGCACAACTGCCTCAGCACGGCACTTGAAACAGCCCTGTACCTGGAGAGTCACAGCAGCAACCCCAGCCCAACCCAACATACATAAACTGATCTCCTGCCACCCTCACTTTGCTGCTTCTGCCTACACCCCTTCACCATTCCCTGCCCCGGTGCCTGCTCCTCCCACTTGTAAGGAGGTCTTCTCAACCTCTTTTGCTAAAGCTAATAAAGGAGGCAGTGCTGAATGGATCAATGGCTTCTCATTTGCATGAAAGAGTACTGCAAGCACAAAAACATCAGGGAAGAGGCAGGGGGGGGGGACAGGTGAGGCCTTGTCTGTAGTCTCAGCTCAATTTGCTAAATCCCTGATGTCCCAGGGAGATAGTAGGAGTCAACCAAAGCAATAAGATGGGGCTGCACAGATATGCAGACACAGAAACTCTCACTATTTGTGCATTAAAAAAAGGAAAAGGAGAGAGGCTACTAAACTCCGTATTTTCTCTGGCACTTTATGAACCCCAGGGCTGGCAAAGATGAGTGTTAGGTGCATTTGGTGTGATGGTATAAGCACAGAAAACCAGAACACTCTCTCCAGTGAGTAATCTACCTCAATTAATTGCCGCTAAAAGAGAGAGGGAGAGAGATGAGGAGGAATGGAAAAGAAGAGTACATAAAAATTACAAGCTCTCTTTTCCTGGGCAAATTTATGCCAGTCGGAATACTTTCTGCATCCCCACAGCTTTTGAGGTGGTCAACTTGAGTTGTTATTTTCTTCTTAAGTGGCCTACCCACAGTATATGCTAGAAGATATGTTTTACAGCATTGTTCCTGAAGATAATTTTCTAGGTTTTTTTTTTAATTTTTATACCCACATGAGAGTGGATCTACAATTTCAAGTGAATTGACTCACTGCTCTGTGCCTCACCTTAGGATGCGAAGCGGCGAGCAACAATTCCATGTTACAGAAAGGTTCAGAAACCAGAACTATTTCTTCTTCCTCAACAATTTCTGCAGTGCTTCACTTTGAAATTTTCTAAAGAAGTGGAGGTTTAGTATCTCTTCAGAGAAACTATTCCCAGCTTGTTAACAGTATATACCAAAATAATTTTCTTCTGCCATCTCTTCTGCTTCCCTATACCACTTTCATCCCTTAAAACAGGATGTCAGACCTTGCCTAATTTCTGAGAGGATATTGTATATCCTCTCCATGTACTAGAAACTGACACTTGGAAACCCAGGTTAAAGACCTGGCAGATGTACTCCATATTAAGAGATAAATAAGCTGAATCAGTCACCTTAGAAAGTCTACTCAGTTTATGGCACCTCTAACTCACTGCAGTGAGTTTCCACACAAGAAACCTGAATCCACATCTCTCACTCACTGAGAAAAAACATTTAAAAGTTGATACACATCTGGATTATTTCTTCCAAGTCTGATTAAAAAAATATAAAACAAACCAAGTCTGCTTCCAGATCCTGACACCCAAATGAAGATGTTGGCAGGAGAGTTTGTCATGAGATCCTGGCAAGTCCAGCTCCAACTCCCAATCCTGCCCTGGTTAGTTTTCTGGGATCCATTTTGTTCCTAAAAAAGTTTTCTTCTTCTTGTGACTTCCACTTTAGAAGCTAGTGTTTTCCTCTTCCTGCAGCCTTTCCCAGGACTGGAAGGAGAGGAAACAATGACATGACAGTGTAGGAAATAAATGCAGCCATGTTCTCAAATCCATGCAGCTCAGAAAGGGGACAGGTAAGTGTTGCTTGCTGCCTCTGCCTCTCTCAGAAATCAAAGGAAGGAGAAGGAGGGAAGCTCCAAGGAGTAAGACTCCAGGGCCAGCAGAGAGTGGGAGCATGGACAGAAATATCTTGGGAATGATACAGGCTTGCTTGGCACATGGCAGTGGCTGTGCTGCTCGGACTCTAGAATGACAGTTCTCACACTGCACCATGGCAAAATAAAATTTCTGTCTGACTCCTCTTCTGCCTGACTGATTTATACACAAGTAACCTTACAGCCGTCAGACTCCACTGCAAATAAGCAGATCCTGACAGAGGAGAACTTTTCCCCACATCCCTTTTTGAGGGTGCAGCTACCAATCAGTGCAACTTCAAACCTCCCAGCCTCATCATTAGCAATAATGGAGGCACTACCAAAATCTTAGGCAAGATGTTTAGGATAAATTTCAATCCCCTCTGCTCTTGATTCAATCACTTATTTCTTCCCTTCTACTGTGGTCCCTCTCCCACTTGGTTCTACACACACGGCCCTGACATATGGACTGAATTACACCTCCTTTCTTTGAAGGATTGAAATTGTCTCACCTGCCCATCAGCTTGTCGTAGACCAGCCAGAGAATGAATCACCTGCTGGGAACTGAGAGGACATGTCACCCTCTGCTGTAGGGATTTCAGGGACAAGCAGACCCAACAACTGCCTCCCTGTGGTGACCACAAAAGGAAGTCAGAAGGTAAATCATTACTATGTCCACTGCTCCAACAGATTCAAACTGCTTGAGAGAGACACCTAGGTTTGTTCCTCCCACCTTTTATGTTTTTCTGGTTTAGTTCAAAAGATTTCTTTTGGAAGATTTGCAACCAAGATAAAATACTATAAAAACCAGAAACTATTATAAAATTAATTTTTCAAGTTATTTTATTTTTCCTCCTCCTGTTTCTGTGGCTGAGAGGGGCAAACAGAGCAATCACATACACAGGCATGAGCTAGGCAGCATGCAAGAACTCAGGGAGCCAATCATCCCTCTAGAAAACCAGTATTGGGCACAGAGAATAATTGCTTAAACATGGAACAGTCTGGTTCCCTATCTAAGGTGATCAGTCATAGACATTTTGGAGATGCATTGAGTTTTAAGGAAGGCAATATATTGACCTGAAAAATGAGGGTTGCTGGCTTTACCAATAACTAATTCCTTGCAAACTTGCTTTACTTGCAAAATGTGTCTTACGTCACCAGATTCCTATGACTTGTGGACGTAAAAGAGCACAAAATCTGCTTTCAGGATTTGAGATTTGCTACACCAGACTCAGATTCAGTAATTTATTTATAAATTCTGAAATGTTTGTGGCTAGTCTCATTTTAACAGCCACTTTAAGCATACTCAGTCTTCTAAAGAGCTTAGAGATGTGATCCATGCTCCTAAGACCTATTTTGAGAAGACTGGAATAGTTTTGTGCATTCAAAGATATGAAGATGGCAGTGTCCTGGTTCAGGTCAAATTTGGGGAAAGAACCCTAAAAGGGTTTCCTTTAGGAAAGCAGACTCAATTGGCCCCTCCCCCCCTTTAACCAGTTCGGGAAGGATACTTCTTTGGAGGAAAGTGGAAAAAACCTGTTTATTAAACAAGTAATTTTAAACAATATTAAACAATAAAACTTCTCGCCACTCCAAGAGAGAGACAAACTCAGGAAAATCCCCGGGGTTGCAGCTGGGCTCATTCAGTCTCTGATCAGTCATTCTGGCACTGGAAATGCCATGGCCCAGGCCTGGCCCGCTTGGCCACAGGTGCTGCTGCTGCTGCTCTTCTGGGGTTCAGTCCAGAGCAGGTCCAGAGAAAGGGAAAAAAACTACAGTCCAGGGAACTTCTTTGCCTCAGCTAGCTAAGACTAACTAGGAAAAGAAAAAAAAAAAAAAAAAAAAAAAAAAAAAAAAAAAAAAAAAAGGAGAGCTTTTTCTCGCTGTCTGTCCATCTGCAGACGACACAGTCCAGGAGCTGGAAATGTGGAGGAGGGAGTGCAGTTCTTGAAAACAAACTCCGCGCTTCTTCCCCCCTCCCTTTCACTCCTGGAACGAGTCTTAAAGGGGTAGAACTTATTATTCAACATAATGGGGATACAGTCAACATAGGACAGGCAGTCCAACCAAGTGACTCAAGTATCGTGTAAACAGTTGACTGGACTCTTTTTCAAGAGTTTCTGTCCCTTATACTTAGCAATATTTAAATTAAGGCAAAACATTGCTGTTGCATCTGTCTCAGACTAAATAGAGTTCAATCACTGCTCTACTGGGAATGAAAATAAACACTAAACAAGTTAATCTTCATCTAAATGGGTTGTAAAGCAGCTTTTCTCCATATGAAATGTAAGCTACTTAAGAAATACAGGGTTCAGGTCAATATCATGTCTGCATGTCTACATATGTCTCCCACCAAAATCTATACAATTTTTTGTGGCTTTATAAGATTTATCAATGATACATTACATATGCAATAAGAGGAAAATACCATCACATGTCATCATTTCTCGAATGTAAATTCTTATGCGTCACAAGAGGAAATTCTACTCACAATATGAGGGTATGAGCTAGGTGTACAATTTCCCACGAAGTGCTCTCTCTGAATCACAATCATCTTCTCTGGCCTTAAAAATTGATTACGAGATCAAGCGTGCTTAATAACATGTAACAAAGAGAGGATTTCATGACAGGGAGTGGCAACCAGACAGATGTGACATAGAAATAATTTTTTTTTTTTTGCTCTTGAGGAATTAAGCAGAACAGCTTGGCTCAGCTAGACTACATCAGCTCCTCAGAATGGAAAAGATGCGTCCAGGAGATACTCAACAAATAGGATGCTTTTGTGTTTGTGATATACACTCATCCTGTACTAAGTCACCGTAGTAACTCGACTTCTTTTGCTCCAGGGATTGCCTAGAAAAAAACAGACAGAAATCTTGGCCTAGAAATTGTTCTGCCATCTGGGAGCATGCTGTGGGGCAGCAGTCTGCTACTTTAATTATATCTATTAAAAAACAAAAAATGCTGCTGATCATTAAACAGATCAAATCCCTCCAGTTTATCCATCATGTAAGGCTACTTACATGGCTAAGACTGGCCCAGACCTAGACTGTAAGTTAATGCTGCCCTAATTTTCTGCTGAATTAAGGCTGCCTTACCTCCCACTTTCCTGAGAGTGCCAGTATTTCTTACTGTCCTCAGTCTCTCAGCAGCACAGCTCCCAACTATAAACAGGCTGTAAGAGCCCAGCTGGCTCAGCAGAACTGGGATCCAGGAATTACTATCTGCTGTGCAGAAGCCAAAAAAAGCTTTGGGGAACATAACAGAAATGACCAGAGTGGCTCTTAGACTGTATCACTAGTCTGTTGCACTATTGAAATAATGAGATCCAGTGAGGAAATGCTTCTAAGAAAAACTAAGCGGGGGTTGGGAGAGCGGTGGATGAGGGGTGGAGAAGGGGAAATAATATCATGTTTGCAGACTCACATACCTTCAGGCTTTTTTCCCCAGCCTGAAAGAAAATCTTATGTTTTGATTTCTGCATGTCAGGTACTGAAGTAAGAACAGAGCACTCCAGTGCAACACAGGGTTCTTTTCATGCACATACTAGCAGCACTCTTCTGTGCAACTTTCTTTTTATGGAACCTGCGTCAGAGTTGCCATTCAAATAGTTGGAGGAAAAACATAATTAGATAAGGTGAGGTTGTATATTTTTACAGGCAACTAACAGCCATAAGTACTAATAATTCAGTGCACACCTAAAGATTTTCTTTCTTTCCTGACTCAGTAGTGCAGCTCATTCATCCCACACAGAGTTTGTTTTGCCTTACTCTAACCATATGACCTACTTCAAAGGTTGGCCTTTTTTTTTTTTTTTTTGTACAAGTTTTATAGACACATAAACCCTCACCAAATCAATTCTGCCCATTCTTAATTAAAAACAAACCAATAAACAAAAAAGCAATAACAAACAACAAACCAAACAACTCAAACCAAATTTGCTTAAGGCCGCCTAGAGGCAGAACCTTTATAGTGCCTCTAGTGCCTCGGGCAGTATTTCAAGCTCATCCTAGGAAGTAGTTTAAGACACAACAGCACCATCTACCGATGAGCTTCTGTAAACCCCAGCATGCCTCGTCAAGTGTGCTAGATAAATGGTGTAATTAATTACCTTGTTAGTTACAAGTAGGAAACATATTTAATATTGCAATTGAAACAGTTTAATTTCACCTATGACTGATGCTTTTTGGCCTGTTTATCCTGGAGAAGTGAAGAGTGAGAGGGGATCTCATCAATACATACAAATATCTCAAAGGTGGGTGTCAAGAAGATGGTGCCAGATTATTTATAGCAGTGCCCAGCAACAGGATGAGAAGCAATGGCTGTAAACCAAAGCACAAGAAGTTTCACCTCAACATGAAGAAGAACTTCTTTGCATTGAGGATGACAGAGCACTGGCACAGGCTGCCAGAGTTGGCAATGAATTTTCCCTCACTGAAGACATTCAAACCCCAGCTGGACATATTCCCGTGTAACCTGCTCTAGGTGACCCTACCTTGGCAGGAGGGTTGGATGAGATGATCTCCAGAGGTCCCTTCCAACCCTAATGGTTCTGTGGTCTTCAAAGCTGAGGAAAACTCTGCTCCCATGTCAGCACCAAGGGTTAAGAACAAAATTGGTTATTCATCATATAGATGATATTTTGTGGGTGAGATGCTTAATTTGTACTGCTTAATATATTAAAAAAAAAAAAAAAAAAGGGGGAAGTCAAAATAGCTGTTTCAACCGGGTAATATAAAAAAATCTCCTACTGAAATACACAATCATTGAGCAAGTTTTCAAAACAAGTAAACAATTAAGACAGCCCTTGGTTTTGGTTTTTTTGTTTTTTTTTTTTTTTCTGGGAAGGTGGTCAAACCCAGAGAACTGGTTTGAACCAGATATTTTATTGACTATATTCAGGTGATTCATAGTGAAGTCTGAGAAGTAGCAATCAGGTTGCATTTTGCCACAGATACAAATTAGCTTAATACTCCAAAGCATTTTTCATCATCCTTTTATGACTTACAATGCAATTTCTTTTCAATCTCTATCAAATAATCATCCACAACTGTGGCAAGATGATCTTCCAGTATTTTTTTTTTTTTTTTTTTTTTTTTTTTTTTTTTTTTTTTTTTAAATCTCACATATATTATTTCTAGGCACCCAGCTTAATATGACTTGACATTGCCTTTGAGCCAGTGCCTAAAAATGCATTCTGCCTGGCTGGCTGCCTAGCTGATTTGCTTAAATCTCCTTTTAAAAAACACTGAAGACATTGAGATTCTGTCTCACTTAAATAAATAAATACAGACTGCTTTGTAGAAAGCCGATTATGTGTACTTCCTCTTTTTGTTCCTGTTTAATAGGGCCTGGAGACTAATTAAAGCAGAAAAAAAAAACACAAAAAAGAGAAAAAGTCAAAGAAAAATTCTTGTAAGACGTTTTCAAGGAGAAAAAGCTAGATTCACATCTACAGCAGATTTTACATAATTTCACCATCTTTGCTCATTGCTGTTCCATAGTTAGACACACCTTAGACTACAGTATTAAATGGACAGATACTGATATATGATGTTCAGAGACATCCTCTTCAATAAAACACTTGAAGATGCATGAAGAAGAAGTGAACCAGGTCAAGAATGCAATCAGACCCGCTTTTGCATTTTCAGATATATTGCTTGCATTTGTCTGGACCTTGGGTACAGTCAACTGCAAATATGATTCTGCATTTCAAACTTCAATCCCATTTTACTCCAATCTCACTTTCCCACTCCTGCCTGGGGTTTTTTAAGCTTTGGATCTGATTTTTTTAGCTTTTAAGCTTTTAGCTTTTTTAGCTTTTTAGCTTTCAGGATTTTTAGCTTTTAAGGACTGATCAATGTTACTTACATAGCACAACATAGTGCTACTTAAGTACTGTGACTACTTGTGTAAGTAGTAAGACCATTTAGGTATTATGACACCTTAACATCTCTGTAGCTTCATATATAGCAGGGACAGCCAACAGTGTCCTGGGCTCTGTCAACAGGGTCACATCCAGCACATGGAGGAGAAGAATTCTATCTGTTCAGCACTTGTGAGATTTCATTTTCTAATCATCTGTGTCTTTTGGACCCCTCATGCAGGGTGGACATCAATAAACTGAAGTGAATTCAGTGTTTTGGGGCTGGAACATTGTCCTCTGAGGAGGGCTGAGGGACAGGAGCTTTTTGAGACCTGGACAATCAAAGACACTGGAGACACTGGAGAAAACTCATGGCAGTTTTCTGATACATTCAAGGAGATCATTGAAAAGATGGAGATAAGTGCATCTTAAGGCATCATTACAGTGATGCGCAGTGGGAGGATGGAAAGCAATGAGCATAAACTGAAACATGAGAGCTGCAACCTGTGTATGGCAACAGTGGGAAAGTGGTAGAAATTCCCTACAGAGGCTGTGAAGACACCAACCTCACTACTTCAGAACAGTAAGTTACTGTCCCTGTCTGCACCTTCCTTCTTTCCTTGCCTCCAGTACTCCACAGATTGTCCTTGTGCCTCTTCATGCCTCATTTTTACTTTAAATATGAACAGTAACACCTTATAGCTATCCATATGCTCTCCTGTAAAAAATTTGAGCTTCATGAACCCACCAAGTTTAAGCTCTAACAATCTAATCACAATGGGAAAACAAATTCACTCTGTACTTCATTCAACACTATTGCATATATTAACACAAATGACAGCAACACCACTTAACCATTTAGCACAGATGGAATTTTCCTGAATGTTTTCTTGATGATGGGGATTAAAATATTATGAAAGACTTTTTTTAATAAGATCAAGGTTTGAGGTCACAATATGAGGAAACCCTCATGACACTGTATTGTCATCAATGTAAAATGACAGCATTATATTTTGCTGATGTTTGAGACCCTCCCAAATCTAAGGAGCAGCTGAGAAAAAATAATCCTATCAGACATCCATAGGTTGCCTATGGGAGCAGGGAACACCTATTTGTCCTCCGTTTGTGAAGAGCTTAACACAATAAACTCCTCATCCATGACAAGGGCTCTCAAGCACTGCAGCAACATCAATCCAAGAGTAAGCATAGTAGACTTATACTGGTGTGTATTACAAATAGTAGAATGTGTCCCTTGGCAATAAAACGTGGTTCAGATAACCATCAGGCCCTGTAAGTATATAATTATACATACAAAACTGGATCCAAGTTGAACACCTGCTTTAAAAATACCATTCAAGTCACATTTTTAAAGTTCTTCAGTTTAATGTGGTAAAAGCACATAAAAAAGAATAATCTTTGCAACCGTGTGGTTATCCAAGTCACTCCTGGGTACAACTGTTTCTTCTCCTAGCAGCATCTTGTCTGTACTAGGGGCTTATTAAAACACTGAAAGATAACCATCAGGAAGGCACACATGAACACAATATGCAGGAATGAGTTTAAGAACCCTTCAAATTTTGGCTCCAAGATTAATAAGAGCAGAAATTTAGAGAAATTTCTGTATGCTGGTTAAAGTTAAGGTATGTTTTCCATTCCTGAAAGATCCTGCCAAATCTAAGAGAGAGGAGAAAGGGGAAAATATAAAGTGTTCATTGTTCCTGCTGAGTTTCCTTCTTGGGTTTTTTCATTTTATCATTTAAAAAGAGTATTGTTTCACTTCAAAACTATTATACAATAGGGAAGAGAACTTGGATCCTTAATTCAGTAAGTGGACTTTATCCAAGTTCTGTGCATATGAAGAGTTCCTGTAAGTTTTGTGTAACTTATTACAGGTGTAAATTGAGACATGATAAGACATTTTGTTAACTCAGATGTGTTTACATAATGCTCTTTGATTTTTCTTTGATCACTTCTGCAAAACATTCACCCAACTCACTCGAGGATATTGAAAGAGAGGTGCCAGCATTACTCAGAGACCTATTCTGTTTGGATCACAGTTATTACTACTAGTATTTCTTCTTCTCCTTCCTTCCTGTGTGCTTGGCATCCTGCACGGGACAGGTTGTGGGGGGTGGGGGTGGAACCCATAAAAACAGCAGTATGCTTGTGGTGCGTGAGCAGTGGTAGTAATGGAGAAGCAAAAGAAAGAAGTAATCTGGTCTGAGAACAGGCACTTTTTCTGCCTGGGTTTTTGTTTGTTTGTTTGTTTGTTTGTTGTTTGTTAATTTAATTTCTTTAAAATTGCCTTTTTTTTTTTTTTTAAAGGATGAGACCTAATCCATTTTACATATGTGAGGCTCATGGTTGGGAACTAAAGAGAATTGGACAAAGGTTTGACATTAGAGATAGGGCTACAGAGAAGGACAATACCTGAGTCTGAACAATGGGACCAATTGGGCCAAAATTAACTGGCAGGAGGAAAGAGACAAGAAGGTGTAAGCACAGGCAAAACCATCAGTGTTTTAATGGAGTGAAGAAAATGGCAAAAAAAAAAAAAAATTCAATCTTCCCAACAGAAAGGATTCAGCAGAGCCACAAATCAGGTTATGTAGTCACACAATACTGCTGTCAGAGGTACAGGATCAGGGGCCTATTCCCACAACACCAGAAAGAAGACACCTGAATGCAGGTCACCAGAGTCCATGAGATATAAAGCAGGTATTGCAAAGACATTGTCTTGTTTGTAATTGCACACTATTACATTTGAATAAACATAGCTATCAGCAAAACTTAGTGATAGTGAGACAGACATAAAACCACATCTCTCTCACAGCCAATGTCACAAATCAATGGGGAAAAGCCATCTACAAAGGGATTTGCTTGGGGGAAATAAAGAATGTATCTTTCACTATTATGAAATAAAAATTAAAAAATAAAAAGCCAAAGTGATTGGAGGGAGAAATTTATGATTTAATCTTCTTTGACTTTCACCATGAAATAGTTTTACCTCTACTTTACCCAGATACTGATATTTTTTGACTGTAGCAGCTGGATTGGACATGAACCAACTATAAATGTTCTTTGCCTTGAGCAAAAAGCAGTGCAGGACATGCATTTTAGCCCATGAATGGGAAGCAGTTTTTCTCAGGCCTCAAGTCAGGGGTGTGTGGAGTGAAATCAATCTCTTCTCCTAGATTACACTTACCTTATGCTTGAGTGAGCCAATCAAGTTGTGTGAGACATGACACAAAACCACTAACCCCGTGACACGGTCTTCGCACATCCGCTTCACCCCAAGAAAAGGAGGTTGGAAATACACCGATTTGAAAGTTTTTATTGTCTTCAGTATTGTATGCAGATTCATGGTTTTGAAATGAAGCGGTTTCTATCAGTTCACTGGGTCTATGTGGATGGGGAGCAGGTGTGGCTGTTACAGTTCAAAATGCAGGGCAGAAGTCTTGTGGTGTTTACATAAACTTCTCATCATGAATCCTGCACTGATGCACAGAGAGAGATGGCAGGACCTGCAAGAACTACACTAAGTAGGTCTCAAGCTAGGAAGGGTTTGTTTGTTCAGCGATGTCTGTGCTGTGCCAATGCTCAGGGGACTAGGACCCCAATGACTAGATGCAGAAGTCGTATATACAAGTATTCCCAAAACCAGGAAAAGAAACTAAACTTTTTTTTTTTTTTTTTTTTTTTGTAAAAACTACTCTTTACCTGTTACATTTCATGCCAAAAAATACAGTGCATACATTCTCTTCAGCTCCCAAAGACCCAGGCTGAATGCAGCTGATCAGGCCACCAGCCAAGTTTGTCTGCAAGCCTTGCAGCAGGAGAAAAGTGGCACATTGCCCAAGAGCCAACCAGGGCATGGCTTCTCCTGATTGCAGCTCCATGCCACAGCCAGCTGGAGAAAGGGAGCTGCTCCCACATCACAGTCATGCTGGGCAGCCTCAGCTCAGTTCACATGCTCAGAGTTCAGAAGATGGGATGCTGAGGAAAGCACTGTTGTCACAATGATTTAAATGCAAAATGCCCAATTACATCATGGAAATGCAGCCCTCTGAAACCAATTATTTTCTTCACAGAGCTTTGGCAGTAATCAGCTATCTTTTCTTTAATCTGTAATAGTTAAAGGTGATGTGGGAGTGAAAATACATGCAAAAAAATAAACAAACTCGTGTTTTTGTCTCTTTTCTCCTTGCAGAACACAAGTTTGATGATTTCCTCACAACTGTGCCTGGTCTAGAGTTTGCCCAAAGTGTTTTCTGAAAACAATGCCTTTATTAAAAAAAAGAAGTTTGAAACATTTCCATGCTTATTAGGCTTCTTCCAGATATTGCTTGACAGTATGAAGGATAGAATTCAGATGTCTAGGTACCCTTACTAAGGAAAAACAAAACAGCATTTGGGCTAACCTACTCTGCCAGAAACATATATTGGGACCAGAATTGGCATTCACATTCTCTATTTTTAAACAAAAAGCCCCTTTGTCCTCCACAGGTTAACTGTTAGCATTGTTTTCAGTTTTCAGCTAACTTCTCAGGAAAAGCAAAGAATCAAACAGCATGATATAAATGTAAGCAGCCATCATTTAAAACAACAGCGAGAAATGGTGTGGTTGGCCTGGTCAGCCATCATGGAACTGAAATCACTGACATTCCTATGCATTTCTGCACAGGAATGTAGGCCACAGGGTAAGACTGGGAATTCCTGTCCACAGCTATTCAAGCAGCATAGCTTACTCCTAAGCTGTTACATTTAGGCTGAGGGGCTCAGCCGTGCCCTGCACAAATGCTAGTTGTCTTTCAAATTAGTGCTCCTTCATCACTGCTGTCAAAAGTTGCAATAAAGCTATGACCAGGCAAAGCTGTGTCTCAAATCCAGGCTGAAATACCAAATGGGAAGCTTTGTTTTTACCATCCACGCACCTCCACTGCAGGGCTTTAAATCTGAGAGCTCTGTGCTTTTAATCTGGATACCTCTGGATACACTGATGCCTTTCCCATTTGAACAAAACCTAGGGTATTTTGAATGGGGGAAGGAAGGAGAGAGGAAATGGGCACCAGGAGAACACTGACTAGGTCTTAAGTGGGAAAGTGTCCAGATACTTGCTAGAAAGCAATGTATTAACCCTGCAAAGCTGTTTATGCATAAAGTCAGTCACAATTAAGCAACAAATGCCTCAACTGGAAAAAATGAGCAACAGGAAAGATTATCATACTTGTCTTTTAGTTGTGATGTTAATTTAACCTGACTCCCAGGTTCAAAATATTATTTTTGGTTGGTAGGTCATATTTCATGAACAGTTTCCCTCCAAAGGATACCAGTAGGTGTTTAAACTTCTCATTACAATTTTGAAAGATGTCAAAAGCTTGGCAACAGCAGTACAGCCTTCTCTCAGCATGTAGAATAACCTGGAAAAGGAAGATCTTTTCCACTGTTTCACCAGCCTTATCTCAATAGTTTAACTGATCTTCTTCCTTTCTCTAAAAGACTTTACAAAACTGTTTGTACAAGCAAACATTGCATATGTGAAGCAATTGACCTGTCAAAGAAGAAAAGGGGAAGAGACTAAGTAATCACAGTGGGTGAGATTAAAAAAAGGCCTTTGAAGAAATATGGAGACAATTTGGAAGAATACTTGTAGAGCCAAGTAGTGAAAATTATCAAGAATAGCCCTAACTCCTTTATCTAGAGGCTCAGTGCATGCAGCAGCAAACACTAATTGATGGCAATATAGGCCTTGTATGGGACATAGAAAACATTTCAGAAGCGGGTAACACTTCTCAAAATGGGTTAAATCTTTCTAGAGATTAGAAGTGAAATTAAAAATCTTTCCAATCTGTCAGGGTCTAAGATTTCTCTCAGAAGTAACAGAAAAGGCCTGAGAAACATTGGCAGGAGATGGCTCTGAATTGCCCGTGTGAAGTGTTGGCTTTATGGGCCACAAAGGCAGTCAAAAGCCTTTGACAGGAAACAGGTTGATGGTAGGTGAGAAAAGAAGCAGAACTGAACTGTTACAGGGTGTGAGAAAGTGCATGGATGCCACACAGCCTTACACTCACACTCTGAATGAATTAAAACCTTAGCTTACATCACAGTGTCTGCTTAGAGAATAAATGAGGCCAGGATGAATACAGGCTTCTCCAGGAGCCCTCATGGCCAGTGGCACACAAGCAAACCAGGCTGGTAACTCCTAGGGAGGAATCAATAACCTGTAATAATTTTTGGGAACGAAAGTAGTAAAAGCTGAACAGTGCAAAATACTTTCCCGTAGTAAGAAATCCCTCATATTTATTGCAAGTACTAGCAAAACAAAACAAGGGCTCAAAACAAGCACAAATTATATTTTCCTCAAGTTCGCCTTCAGAGGTAATATCTAAGTACTAACTTTTTATATTACAAATGTACCAATAATGCAGTAACACAGCAGGATATCAGAGTTAGCTTTCTGCAGTTGATTAATGAGTTGTAGTTTGTATCTTCTGTTACACCAAAATGCTTATGCCAAAAAATCCACAAGAATCCAGAGGAAGTATAGAAAGACAACTAACAGCTTTTTTTGGGCTTTCTACCATATTGTTATACACATCTTTCACTGACTATTTATATTATGTCATGCTACATATTCTGGCCATACAATTGAACTAGCAAATCACAACCCAAGAAAGCGATCTGCTTTGTACAATTGGAATAGTTAAAACAACCAGCCTCCATAAACAACAAAAGCAGTGCAAATAAATGGGGAATGTAAAGCATGTGAAAAGTTGCAGACAAAGCAACAGATTTATTTATTAGAGCTAAGACATTCTCTTTGCTCTAATTCTCAAGCTGTAACCCTGACCAAGAGTCTATATTGGAGACTGTTCTCATAATATCACTACATACCTTCTTCCTCCCTTCCCCAACCAACAGGGACAATGGGAAGATGACATCATACATTTTGCATGCTGAAGAGTCCCATAGGCAGCTAAAATATTACATAGTAGTTTCAGTAGTTTTCTTAAATATTCTAAAGCCACAACAACATTCCAAAATAGACCCAAACACTTTTCCTACTGAAACAGATTTTCCTTGCTCTGAGCTCATTTAAAAGGACTTTTGCGTTCACTTAGCACTGTGTGCAATCAAGCCAACATAAAAAGCCCAAACAGTAAGTTTTCATCTACCAACATGGGGACATGAGAGAAAGTGGACATTTAACACTAATACCAGATAATAGGGTTGTTACATAAAATTCAGTAAGCTCAGTGGGGAGTTTTTCATGCACAATTCCTTCAAACCTCTAATTTGCAGAAAAACACACAGACTGTTGCATGCCCCCCATATTCTCCCTTTTATTGGAAGGAAGTAGTAGGGTTAATTTGTTTTTTAATATACTGAGGTCAGCATCATTTAAGACAAGTACCAAAACTCATTTGTTGAAAACCTGCTGAACCTTTGTGCTGATTCTTGTGTCTATCTTTGATGTTTGTGGAGAATTGCAGAACACAGAATAAAGAAAACTATAAAGATCATGCCACTATTTGAGTACTTCTGAATAATTTCCACAGGACAGGTATGTTAATACACATATTATTGCCTCCGTGGTTTGGTGCACAGAATAAATTAATAATTGATCTAAATATAGCAGGTTTAGTTCAATCAAAACCGATCTAAGAAAAAAAAACCCTCAACCAAATATTTAACAAAAGCATGAAACCTGTCATTGAAGGTAAGCATTTCTTCTGTCCTCAGCCCATAGCTATTTTTTTTCTTCAGTGTATCTTACTGTCAGTCTAACTTTTCACTTTTTAGTATCAAATTATGTACAGCAGAGCAGTGGCAGAAAGCTATATTCAAGGTAGATAATAGTTTTTTGGTTGAAACTTTTTTCAATCCTCCCTTTTTCATTCAGATACTGACCACAGTATCTTCCCAGAAGATATCAAACAATATTAATTTCTCATCACTGTTTATAAGGTTTGTAAGAAGTTTTGAAAGAGATCTGTCAAAGTATATTAAAACTGCAGCATTTTCCAAAAATTCCCAACTGCTTAACAGGAAGCTATGCATCAGCAACCTATTTATTAAACTTTAAACTCTTAAAATGTCATTGTTCCCAGACTTTTTAAATCAAAATTAAAAAAAAAAAAATGAAGGAAAAGGTAAGGATGGGATTACACAAAACTCTAAATCTAGTGCAGGCTCAGACCTGTGATGTGCAGTTTTTTAACTTGACTTACTCTGTTGTGAACTTTTAGTGTGGTTAAGGTCTGTGGACAACTGGAACCAGAAACTACTCCTTCACAGAATTCCATGACAAGGTTATGCATGGGAATCTCAGATTCCCAGCACTAAAATGGAGGAGAAAAAAATGCTCCTGATAGCTAAGAAAGAGAGACACATCAATTCCAGACAGCTGCTGTGTAGAATAAAACAACCCTTTTGTGATTACAGGGTTTATGACTATATGGCTACAGGTGCTTAGCTGTCATGGTACTAGACCAAACAGACATTAGTGACAACAGTAGAAAAGCAGAAAATATAATAGATAAAAAGCATTCCTGCACACTGGGGGAAGATGAAGGGACAGCAGTTTAATAGGAGAAAAAACTATAGGCATAATATCAGGAGCACTGCAATGAGGGCACTGGTCTCCACTGCTGACACTGGAGGCACTGGGGTAAAGCCCTAAGAATGGCCCTGAGGGAGCACAGAGTTATGCTAAGGCAAGAGCAAGATAAACATCTTCTATTGCTCCCAATATTTTGCACCTTTGCCAGCTGTGTGTCCCCACACCCAAGCCCTATACTTCTCACTGTCAATTTGGTTTTTAACTGAGCATTGCCACCTAAGGCAAGGTTCTACACACTTCCATTTACCAATTATATGTGGCTTTTGCCAGACTCTTGGAGATGCATCTCCCCAAATCTCCCTTTTCCAGCCAACCCCTGCAAGGCCCGGCAAGCATTAACCTAATAGACAATTCCATGTTCTTACCCACTTAGTTGGCAATGTGCTGCTGCCTTTGAAAGACCCCACATTCCACACCAACCTGTAACATCTGTCTTGCAAGGTATCTGCCCTACTGATGTTGATGGCAGACCTTCATTAGTTTTGGACACATCACATCCCGGTGCTTTTAAACATAAACCCATTTGATATCAAGAACTCCACCTAAAACTGAGTTCAGAAAGCAGGAAATTCCAACAGAAACCTAATTCTAAGCATTCTAAGCATGAGCAGCAGAACAGACAAAGGTATCATTAATGAGATGAGATTAGACAAGCTGTTTTTGCCATGATTTAAAAAAAAAAAAAAAAAAAGCACTGGCTGTTCAAACAGTGCACCAGTGATGGAAGCACACTTTGAATCCTTCCATTTTATCATACAAATCAAAGCAGACCAGGTACTTACTGACAAGAATTCCAAATTTAACTAGGCAATAAAATTCATGCTTCCTTACTCATCCCAGGCCCTAAAAAGGATTACTATTTGTTTGGGGTTTTTTTTAATACAACTGTATTTTCTTAAGCCAATAAAAGCACTAGAGCAGTATCTTACTGTGCATATCAAAAGTCATCTGACCAAGGGTAAGGATAACCTGGCTGGAAAAATGGTGGTCTTGTCAAGATATGCACAGTTGCTTAACAGGAGACATTCATATCAATCACAGATGTATCTGGGTAACTCTTTCACTTGTTAACAAAGAAATAGATCCTATAGATTACAATATATAAAAATTCACTTTTAATTTCTCTTTGAAGAGACTGTATGAAATACAATCTGCATTAAGAGAAAAATAGATGATGAAAAGCAAGAAAAATACTTAAAATACATACATACATATACATTAAGAGAACATTTTACCTAAGATTATAATATTTTACAATTTATTTTACTAACTAAAAATAACTTCCTCAAAAGATCAAACCAACATTAACAAATGTCTATTAATTTTAATTGAAACTACAAGATAAAACTAAAATTTCTAGATGAGTTATTAACATTGTAAATAACAACAACACTTTTCAATGCTTATTTCTCAAAAACAGAAAGGACTCAGGTGCTCCCAAGCCTTACCATATCATGAACTTTATGTTCCAGTCCCAAGAGAAAAACAAAGATTCGTAATGCAAAGAGTAACAGAAGCTTTCTTCCAGTACTAACATTGTCAAGACTGCAGCTCTAAAATCAGATATGCTCTTGGTTAGTGCTATCAGTTTGAATGTTACACTAAAATGAAATTTAAAAAAAAAAAGCATGCTAAATTTAGGCTTGGAATGATTCTTGAGCAGAAGAGAAACTGTAAGAATAGCAGCTCAGATCTCCTACAGCCAAAGCAGAGAGCCCCACTTCTAACACAGATTGCTAATGAATGTTGACAGCCAGCATGAAGGCATGACAAGGTAAAGCAGTGGGAATGTTTTGAACACTGCTTGTCTGCTAAGGGCACACGTGTATACTTTAGTTAATGTAGCATTTACTTCACTATTATCAGAAAAACTGTTCTAGAATCAGTTGGCAATTAATAGAAATTCAAACCCTACCAGAAGTTGCACAATTGGTTCATGTTTTATTTCCACAAAAAAATAAACCTGTAGTTGACTTCTGTTTCAAGTTTAACACAATAATTTTAGAGACAAATGTAAACAACAGTAATATTGTTTCAAAGAGAAAAAATATATTTTTTAAGCAATATGTGCCTATATTTCTCCAGTAAATAGGCATTGGCAAAAATACTTCAATTTGGCAAAATGGTTGAAAAGTTGATCTTAATTTGCTTTTCCCTGTCTTTCTACACACACACACACACACATACACACATATATATGTATATATGATAGTGCATTGCATTATGTCCTCTATTTTCCACAGGATGATCATCAGACCAGCCATGGGTGAACAGAATTCCTTTACAAAACGTTTATTCAATATTTTGCCTTTTTCTTGCTGCTCTGTGTACTGCCTTGGGCATATTTACTGCAGGGTAAGATCATTTAATTTTTTTTTTCAATAAAATAATAGAATACTATTACTAGAAAAGAGAAATAGAACTAAAATGATTACTAGAACATAAGTGGCTCATGAAAGCTAATTTGTATCCATACCCTACAGTGGAATTATCCTCACCTTCCAGAGATAAAGACAAGATACAACCATATCAACATTGTAAGCACCAGTTAACTCTCAGGGCTCACGTTCTCACCATTGTACTTCATACAGTGTAATAATTCAAAGCCTAATGAACTATGTTGTGAATATATGAAATATTATCATTCAAATTTTGCAAGTCTCTGCTCTTGGCTCAGATACCATGTTTATAGCACTCTTAAAGGTCTTATATCTTAGCCAAGTTGGGGCTTTTTTACTCTCCCTAGATAAGCAGTAGAATACTCAACATCTAAGTAGCCTCCGATTAAATATCAAGTAATTTCTTCACAGTAAGAAGATGCTAAACTTTAAGAAAAGAGAGGATATAATTGTTTAGTCTTCATCGAAGAAGTTTTAGCTCATTTCCCCACCTCCAGGTCTGCTTGAGACAGATATCCAAAATGGAAAATTGCAGTTCAAACTGTTAAAGCTTAGCAAAAATACCACATAAAACTTACAGAAAAAAAAAACTTATAATGAGAAATACTGAGTACTACAGATTGTTATCACTTAGGCTAATGACATGTCTGTAACATTACCTTTCAAACACTCAAACTTACACATGTAAATGATTTTAAACCTTGCCAAATGAATTACAAGTCTTTTTCATGGTTTTGATGAGCAGAGTACACAGCTGCCAGAAGGCTGGAAAGTAACCTGAAAAAAAAGGAGTTTGCTGCCAAATTGCTCCAGCAGTACTGATGAGATCCAGTTTTGGGAATGGGCTGAGGATCCTCACCATCTCCATCTTACGCCTTTTGAGTGCAACACCACAATCTTTTTAGAACCTTGCAGATTTGTGGCATCTTTTTCCCTTACCATACAACAGAAGTTTCGGCTAAAGGAATGCAGTAACTGCAAACTCCAAATGTACCAGCTTACAAAAGAACCCATTCTGATGGGAATGATACACATTCATACAAAACAGAAAACTACATAATTCAAACCACATTTTTAACTGTTAAGCATTTCTCCATCAAAATATTCATTATTCTCCATGTGTGTGTTTGCATGTGCATATAAAAAAAACCTCAGTTGTTGGCCCAGCTCCTGCAGCTGAGCTCTCCAAACAAGTATATAAATATGTGGGTGGGCGTTGCAGATCAGGAGAAAACTTTGCAGTGAAAGGTAAAAGAACCAATTCCAGGACAATTTACTATTAGTGTCGGTATTGCCTGGTATTAACCTGTAACCAAGGGTTGATGCTACCTATCTACATGAACAGGAGTAAGTTTTAAACATTTTATACCATCAGTAAATTAATGATTAGTAAAGTCATCTTTATGAGATGTAAATAAAATATCAGGAGCTTTCCAGACAAAGAGAAGTTGTCCAGGTTTACTGAGTTTCCAGCTGAGAGACCTTTGCTTTAGTCTTTCATGGTATGATTGGGAATATACAGAGACTATCTCCAAAAGAATAATACATATTTCTGTGAAAGAAAAAAACACATTTTCTGGATATGAGGCATGGTATATGCTAGAATAATGTGCCAGTATAGTCAGTTCTAAGATTTAAAATAGAGGGAGGGACTCATCATGCTTCTGAAGCAACTGATTCCCAGAGCAGAAAAACATTCATGCCTCACATGCCTTGGAAAGAAATTCAAAGGAAAAAAGCACGTGGCCAGGGAAGTCAAGGGATTGATCAGCATGCCTCACGTTTTTAATTGACTGGTTTACACGCAAAATCTCTTGTAACCCCAAATCATGCGCTCATATATGACATATGTTCATACATCATAAACCATCTCTGTGCCAAAGACCAGCAACAACAGGTTAAGTCCCTTCCCTTGCAATACGGTCCCAAAAGCAGACACCTCCTACAAAACTGAGGAGGGGAATAAGGCACCCACCATCAGATGGAGGATTTGAGCTCAGTGCACTCAAAATAGTCAACTTCAACACCCATTTTCACAAAAAAAAAAAAAGAGGTTCAGACCACCAGGTCATAGATTAAACTTCATATATCCTCTTATAACTGTGCCATCATACCTTAGAAAATCCAAGACACTCAGAATCAGGGTGCCTGGAAGAGAGACAGAGCCTGAATATGAGAGCACAATACTGGGTTTAGGTTGAGAACATGGTCAGGAGGAGGCATTTTTCAGGCATGTCTGTAAAGTGTAACCACCACCACTGCCTAATGTATCCACACTCAATCTTCCTTTAGGATGTAAGTATGTTTAAAGGTTGACACAAAAATCTGGATTAAGAGTTTTGGTGCAGGCACCCCATTGTGTTAAGTCAAGAATTCAACATCAGCTATCTGCCAAAAAGTGAAGGCTCATCACAATGGCCTTTTGCCAAGGTTGGGTAGTCACAGAATCACAAAAGAGCTTTAAGAGGAATGAAATAATCATAGTAAAAAATGAGACAAACTTATCAATCTGATCTTTAAACTGTTAGGGAAATATCCTCTTTAAAAACAGATGCAGCTGGGTATGCAGCTCCCAGTCTGTTTTCTTTTGTTTTCTTTCTTTTTTTAGATGGATTTAGTGAGAACTGCTGCAGCCTTGAAAGACTCTTCTCATCCTCTCTGTGAAGCTGCATTATGCAGCTACTGAAACAAACGGGGTGCAGTTCATCAAGCAAGTTCAGACTGTTTTGAAAAGCATACTAGTATTTCAGGGACAGAGCACAAAACAATTAAATGGAACTTCATAATGAAGAAAAGCAACTTGCAACTTTAACTCTAGACTAACTACTAATACCCATAATGTACTCTATATCTATAACGTACTAATATCCAATGATGTATTCTAAAAGCATTAAAAAATACTGCAATACATTAAATCATACATTTGAGAGGTGGCAGGCTGTTACAGTGAGCTCATGGGCACCCTGTGCTCCCCTTCCCCCCGGGACCTTGTGACTCTGATCAAGATAATCCCTGGATCTCTCCTTCCTGCCACAACGGGGTTGGCAAAGAGCCAGGAAAGCCCACCCTGTCCAAAACCTAAATAGACCCACTGACATTTCCTGCTCTTTCTCTTTCATGGACACCACAGAATAAAGAGAGCTATACCAACACCCTGGGGTAAGAGCCTCTTTTGAATACCTATCCCCTCTCCTGGGATTCCTCCCCTCACAGCCCCTTATCTCTGAGCTAATCGGATTCTTCAGGGGCTGTGTGGAGTGGGGAAACTACAGTTGGCGCCCAACGT